AAATTATATTCCTTTATTTTTATTGAGTTTAAATAGCCGAGGCGTCATTGTGGGATGACAATTAAAGCAAAAAAATTACGATTTTATCATTTAATATTTAGGAATAAATCAGGTTTATAATAAAGATTAATGTGATAAAAAAGATTTTACACACTTCGAAGCCTATTTTCTAAGTTCGTTTTGTGAGCCATGAATAAATATAAGCTACTAAAGATTTTGATAAGCCTCCACCAAAAGCAAATACTATAAAATCATGCACAAAGCAATTAAAGATATACTTTGTCTATCGCATACTGATATAAAATAAAAAAACGATGAGTCCACAATTAGCTAGGTACAAACCGAAAATTTTATGATTAGTTGCAACGCGACTGACATCAAAAATGACAATTAAGCTTAAAGAATATAAAAGCAAATTGATTTTAAAATCCACAATTATAAGTTGTTTCACTTGCCGGATAATCTTTTTTTCAGTGTGATTCTGATACGAGCCATATTTGTGATTAATATGATGGGTGTAACACAGATATCCTCAAGAAGTCCATTAGCCTCAATACGAGTGCTTTCCCATGCGACCTCCTTAAATAAAAGCATACTGTCACGTTGTAAACAAAATAAGCTGGTGTGTCGTAGATCGCCAATGGTCCAATTAGCCTTTTTACTTGAAACGATTACACGAGACAGCTAATTATAAAATCCCAAAATTTTGAATAAAGGAAAATTATATAATAATAATAATATAATAATGATAAAAAGTATGAAGTTAAAAAATATATCATTATTTAATAGCAAGCTATACCTCAATTGATGCACGAAACGTGTTTGAATAAAAAATAATTTTAATGGAGTTCACATTTAACCTTATATTATCAATGACTTTTTCCACAAAGCCATATTTACCAGCAGAAGTTCTAAAATGGTTTAATGAAGACAAGAAAGATTTACTGGTAACTTGCAAACTTATTTACAGTAAACTCCCTAAGTTTGTCTAATGCGTGAATTTGCAATTCAACATGATCTAGTAACTGGAATGTATTAAAAATAATTATTCAATTACCACATTTATCGGATGAGTTTTAAGCTTGGTCCATGGAACCTAATAAAATAAGGCTTAGGCAAAAAATTGGAAACCTTAACAGATACTTTGTTGCAAACTGCACTTTTAATCATAAGCCAAGTAGGCAACGAAAGCAAATCCATAAGCACATTTTCGTCCAATTCTATATTGTACAAATCTCCTTCGCCTTTTAGTGCACTGAGCTTAATTTGATATGATGATAAATTTTTTGCAAACCTAAAAAATAACGATTTTAATAAAGATCAGATTTTTGTAGAATTTAAAGAAATAATCACAAACTTTGAGAGAGGTTTAAGAATTTGGTTTTTGATTAGATTTGACATTAAAAAGATTTGAAGGCAAGGCAACTGCCAAAAGGTCTACAAATCAACGCCAGGCCATCCTAACATTTAAAACGATGTAGAAATAGCACATCAATTTTATTATAGTTTATCACAATTTATAAAAAAATTATATATATAACATTTTTTAAAATAAAAGTTTTTATTAATAAAAATGTTATTAGCAAAAATATAGATTTGTTATATAATGAAATTAGATTCCATTTTGACTGGTGTTTTCTGTGGTTCAAGAAGCATTAACTCGATTTCCTTAAGGCAATAAGGAGATTAGTAGTTGAATTTTCTCGCACTTTAATAAGCTTTCCTTACTCGTCGATTAAATTTGACATAGCCGTGCCTTCCAAAACGTCATTCTAAGCCGTGTTACACTATCTTACTGGGCTTTTCCTAGGTCATCTGCATCTTCACTAGGCCTCCAACAATGATATGATAGCTTGCAATATTAATACATTTTTTACTATGTCATACTGTCCCAAGATCTCTTAGATCACATGGCATACTTGAATTTCAATGTAGCCAGACATTTTCCCACATCACATTCTGTGGTGGTTATCTGCAAGTTAGTTCAATTCATGTTCTGCTAATGCAAATTGTTCTGAAAGGAATTACATTAAACAAGCTCATTAAAGCTCTTTTTAGCATGTAGTCTGAAATGGAAAATTATAATCACTTTTGAGCCAATACTGTATTTGCTTGTGGGATATAATTATCAAAATTTCGATATTCATAAAGAATATTTACACTAGAGTTAAATGCTAAAAACACCTATATTTAACGATAGAAAAAATAGATTAAAACTATAATCACGTTATTCCACCCAATGGGAATGTGGTCGGTTGCTTCATGAATACTAAACACTTTAAAGCAATTTGAGGATTTTTATGAAGCTCAGGTGTTATAAAATCTTTCCTTTATCCTGATTAGTAGAACATTTGTTGACAAAGCTATGTGAAGGTCGATGGCGACTAGAAGTCTTCTTATTACTTTATGAAAGTTTTAAATTAACGTCTTTAAAACACATTAACCTTCCTAATTAATCTTTCTTAATTCCTAATCTCGGTAAATCTAATCGGGTTGCCTCATTCGTTCTTAAATGAAAAATTTAAATCTATTGGATGTTATGAAATTTATTTGATATCTAGTAGCTCACCTTGTTTCGAAACATAAAAAGATTATAATAACTTGCATGATTATACCTCTAAAACCATTGATAAAATGTATAAGCTTGACAATTTGATAATAAGCGTAAATAGTGTATTTACTCTACTCCATCTTTTGATAAATTTTCGTCAGCTTTTCGAACCTTCCATCCAATAATTTGGCTCCAGCCTAAAGTACGAGTGGTTGAGTCAATTTGGAGAAGTTTGCTTCATTGACTATCCCTCCAAAGAATGTGACATGTGAAAATTTCTAGTATACCTTAAAATTCACATCGGGCATGTGGCACAAAGGCGCTCATGACAATGTGGTGTAGTGTCGAGATTACACGATGCAATGTCAAGGTTCGAATCCTGTTGAGGGTTTTAATAAGATTCAGGCAGGGTTTAAACTGCAGTCAATAACTTCATGAAGGAGAACAACTTTTGAGAAAGTAAGGCTATGTTAAATTTAATGGATGAGCCAGCTCTACTCATATCATTGTGGGAAAATTTAACTACCAGTTTTCCATCAACTTAGACGAAGCATAGTAAACATATCATATACAACAAATAGTTTTTAAAAATACCTATTCTAAATTGTGCTAGGCTTTCTACTGGATGTCTCGGATTGCAAGTCTACTCCTCACCGCCTTTAAAGTATACTATTTCTTATTAAGTAATTTCTTCTTTCTTCTCATTCTCATCTACTCCATTGCGAGATATAATTAAACCCCGTTCAAGGATGAATGTATTCACCCAGTGTCCATGTCTCATGTAACGTTCTCCAAAAACCGTGTCGTTAGGGTTGTTACATAGCGCGTAAGACAGACTCCAAATAAAATCTGGGTTTTTATATTATTCCTCCACCTCCTTCCATCATTGGTGCCATTTCCTTATCTCTTTAAAACTCCAGAAGACTTTTTATTTACCACTTTCACACTCATGAAAATTCATTACTGCCATATATATTATTCATCTATATTAAATTAATCCATATATATACACAATGAGATCTCTATACAATCGCTAGTCTCGATTCATTCATTAGCCATAGGTCGAACGAGGGGTATCTTGTTATTGTAGTACCTTATATCTATTCATTCTCACTTAAATAATCAGTATTGTAGCAATACTCCACGTCATGTATTAACACTCACTCTACGAAAGATACACTTGATATAATCTTTCATCTTGGCTCATTCGACTGTCAGTTAGTAAATCATCACCAGCTTAACTGAGCCTATCATAGGACCTATCAGTCTATGGCTAATTATAGGCAAATCAATCGCTCTACATCATCCCGACGCTGCCAT